TATTCTTGTTGCTTTTATTGCTGCTATTGTTGTTGCTGTTGCAGGTTGTCCCTGCTGTTGTTAGTGGTGTTGCTGTTGCTATAACTGTATTATAATCTTTTCAAAGGCTACATTAACCAAGGCAACRAAAGAACTCGAAGAAACTAGAGAGACGTCGTCAATACTGAGAAAGCGTTTGGCTGAGATGATGAACAACCTGATGACTGACTTGGGTGAAGTTGGTACAGCAGCAGGGGGCAACGTGTCGGAGCTCACTAAGCCTAATATTAGCTGTAGTGGGAAACTAGATGATGACTTTACTGTGGCTAGGATATATGTCAGCAAGATCAAGTCTGAAATCAAATCTCTTTCAAGTGTAAGTTTGCACATTAGAAATAACTTCTCCAAGACGATTTGCAAGGTTTGTGTTTTTTGATTCACAGAGGTACAACTCTATGGAATCTACGGAGAAAGAATCTAAATCCCAGTTAGAGAATATGGAAAGCACTGTGCAGAAATACCAGCTTGTCATCTCACAGGTATGTCTACATTTGAACATTTTTTATTTCGATTGCCTTCAAAGACACCACTCTGCACATTAGGGTAACTTAAGTAACTTAGGTTTGGGGAATTCTCAAATGCGTTATGTTCACAAAAGTTTGACGACCAGCAAACGGTTTTGAGAACATTTAAGCAAGTAATTATATAGCCACATATTAATCACAAATAGGTAAAAGCTGGATTTTTCGTTAATTTTGGAATTTTGAAATGAATTGGACAGGTTTTCAATTGGGTTTTTGTTAAAAGCTGTGGTTGGCTTTTACCTATTTGGGATCAATATGTGGCTATATAATTAATAGGTAATAAGACTCCATGCTGTCCAAAATTGGACAGCATGGAGTCCTATTACATATAATAATAACTTGAGCCCTGGGCAAACGAGAACAACAATCAACTAATATGTGACACAACACTGATATATTATTAATCAAATTCTTATATAATTATATTGCAAGTATTAATAATTAAATAATTATTTATCCAGCATTTATTGTTTTTTCTAGCATGAAGCAAAGATGCAGTCAATGGGAATTTCACTGAAGGAAATGGAATCCAAGAAACGTATTTTAGAAGAAGCTGTAGATTCCCTTAACGAGGACATGGCTAAACTAAAGGCAGAAGGTAGGTCTGCAAGGAATGTTAATTTCCGCAATTCCGCACGTGCATTCTTGCTAAATAGTAATTGATTTTTTTCTGTATAGCTCAAATGAATGCTCTGGCATTGCAAGATAAAGAACAAGAACATGAGGGAATGCTTCAAGATGCTACAAGAATGGCTGTAAGTACGAATAATATGGTAATCCTGATTGAAGTGTATGTATTTACATGATATCACGTGATATCACGTGATGGCCGGCATAATTATCTATAATGAACTATTAATTATACGTCTTCTAAAAATAACATGTACTTTATTCTTGTCAAGTCTTCCGCTTCTTCTAAGTGTTTATAGTCCTATATCTAACCCTTACTTTCCCTCTCTAGCGATTCTTTCACTGTTTTTATCAATTTTGTCCATTGTCACTTCCCCTTTCTATTCATTTCATTCACTTTCCATTTCCCAGAGGTTTTCCCATAGACCGCCTTTGTTTTGTTCGCTGCAGGTGTAATCTACTGATGATAGACTGTAATTGTTTGTCTCGATAGCTTCCCTTTACTTTATGAATATTCGGTTTAATAGACTTGTCTGGATTCGTGCAAACAAACTTTTTGTAATCACACTGAAATCACCTTAGATTAAAGTTTTCTTTTCGCTTCAACCTATCGTTGATGATTTGGGTAAAGATGTCGAATTTATCCATCGGCAAATCAGATAATCCTTTCTTGTGCAATAAAATTCTGTGATAAAATCGAAGAAATGAACAATATAAAAAGAGCAAAGGCTTTGGTTTGTGGTGGATTGAAATTGTACTAATCGAAYTTGTGATAATAATATGAACGATTATTGATTTTGTTCGATTGAATTRTACAAATAACGACCAAAAKGAAAATTAGAATACGTTCAGTAAATGAATTATATTCCAAACTGCAGAGCTTATCGCGACGTGGTGTATGTTTCTACCGCAGTTTACTTTGTTTATCGGTCAATCTTTCTTTATTTCTATGCATTTATATTTTCACACAACACAGAGAAACGTGATTTAAGTCCTAAATATTAACGAACTCAAGTAATTGGTATTTTTAATAGTTAATTTTTGCCCGAAGAACCCTCAACAATGAGTAGTGTTTTCAGTTCTTGTCGGTTCTTGATGTGAAGATTGTTTTCTAMAGGGTATGGGGCTCACGGGAAGGCGCTCGCTTGTCTATAGTATATTCAATATTGTTTATATGTGGTATTTCGTTGGTATATTGGTGTTCTTTTATTGATATGAAGTACCGTTTTTTAGTATATTGTAATTCAGTATTTAGTAGATGAAAAGTTTCCTCGTAGTTTGAGCGTAAGCACTTTGTATTGGGACACTACGAGGAGTCCATCAAGAGATAACTGACGATTTTGTTTTTTCATTTATTAATGARTGTCTTAGCGTGAAACAATAATGTGGAAAATTCACTGAAATGATTAAAWTGTTCATCTAAGATATGAACAGCAATCTATTTCCAGTTTCGCGATGAAAAGCCGAAAATCTCATTTACGCGATTCTTTCTTTCATTAAAGTAACATTTCATATGATTCATTTATTCATTTGATATTTGTCAACTGCGAGAGATCTAGACTAACAAGGCCAGGATTGCAATTCGTTATGGTCTCCGCTAATCGCGCATCAATAATAAACTTCAAAACAAAACTACCTAAGTACGATAATGTTTTCCCTCAAGTCGTTGATCTAATTGGTTGACAGATCGCAAATTTCGCATCTCATCAGAATTGTAAATTTATTGACGTTAAGATCTGGAGTTAATAATACAAGCTCCAAGGAAGCTTTGCAAAATCTGCCATATCGAAGTACAATCGGCGGCAAAAGCACTATCCCAATGAACCAATTAACAAACATTCAGTCCGAGTCTTTGGCTTTACGGAAGTCAAAAAGAAAACATTGTTCAATCTGGGATTGGAAGAACAAGATGAAGATGGACAATGATGGTGGATTGGCGCTACTAACCATGATAGACTCGCTAGCAGATGTTATAACGCAAGTTATACACAATACAACACCTCGGGTTGGTTTATATATTATTTTTCGTCTCGTTCTGAGTGTATTTGCATTTTATGCTTACTCAGTTCGATGAATTAAGCTATCGAAACGATCTTGTAAGGCTTATTAGAAACTTAACTCCCWTTTTGAGAAATTAATGCACTTTTTCTCACGCTTTCCTCAAAGTTGCTTTATGCACGGAAGTATGATTCATTCGAATGTTATTGACTTGTGTTAACTGTTTTCCAAGTTTTGTTTTGTGCAAACATCCTGATGTTTTAAAACGATCTCTGTGAGGTGTTCTATGTTCACAAATGGAGAATTTCTAATGGCTAACGCTTAATGACCTATATCAAAGTATTGACTTATTTATATGAGAACTATGCAGTTGCATTGAAGTGTGCCGTCATATTTTTTCKTTCTTGATTATCATTGTTTTCTCTGTGTTCAATTAAAGAATAAATAGTGTGTAAGTAATTTCATGTACTCGATGCCARCKWAGAAGAGCAGCTAGCTGTTTCACTWTGAGAAAGAAACATCTGCACCTATCGATACAATAAAATGAAGCTATACGTCCGAGGACTTCTTCCCAAAAAGATACATTATTCAGATACAGTAGTTTTTATTCAACTCGTTTCTGCCGGCAGACATGATTTCAGACACTTGTTCAGAACAAGGGAAATCTCTTGGAATAATTAAAACTCGGTCACTTGGTGTAACTCGGCGATCTTTTTGTATCTCTTGGTTTCGCGAGAAAATTTATAGGACTGTGGTCGTACGTTTTCTTACGTTAGTAGTTACGTTAGGCTCATTTGATGCGTGATATAAGTCTAACTTTSATTTTTTTGGGAAAAGGCATCAAGTGCACGATGAACATTTGCTTTACTCTGAAACTTCTTGTCCTTTTACCCACYTCCCTGCGAATTGCAACCATATTAAATTAATTGTGTTGAATGGTATTGTGTAACTTGAAATAAAAAAAAAATAATGATAAAAAAAAAATGCGAGACAGTTACCTGGGAAATCACCAAATCCTTTCAAAGCATCGATCAATAATAACACCTTTTGTCGCCTTATTGTCTCTTCATTTGTTCTCTGTGTCGATTATTGTTGTTTTTCTTGAATTATTTTAGGCGGCACTTGAAAAACAAATGGAAACACATCGCGATGCTCACCAGAAACAGATAGCAAACCTGAGAGATGAGATTGACTCACAGCAAACCCAGATCAACCAACTCAAGGAGTGAGTCATCCTTCTTTTATTAAATCTTTATCAATACTCATTATTYACAATTTGTTCTTGTGGTTATTTATTTAGGCTTAATCAGAAGAAGGACTTGCAGTCTGACCAATTACGAGTAAGATACTTTTACGTTTTGTATTTATAAATAAATGAAAAATTATAATTAGTAACGAATTAATGTTTCCTTTCAGAATGAGTGCGATAAACTGAAGAAGGAATTATCTGTTAAATCTGAACGAATCAGCGATCTTAAGTAAGTTCCACAAATGTGAAAATATCTATTTGGGTAACCTGAGCTAATTATAATTGACGTCATCATTAGCCATTATTATCATTAACATYTTCATCATTATCATCATCAATCATCGTTGTCATGTAGTTGTCACGATCGCCATCATTGCTGTCATCATTGTAATCATCGCTATCGCAGCTGTCATAAATTACTGTCGTAGTAAAGCTCTTTGTTGTTTTATAGCGTTCAAGCTGAAAAGAGAGAACAAGCCAAAAAGGACTTGCAAGGACTCGAGGAGACAGTGGTAAGCATAAGTTGGCATTGCGTTTGTTGCAAGCTGAATGSCTGCAATCATCGTATTTAAATCTGTGCGATGAGAAACGAGCAGCAATATTTTATTTGCGTCCCATTTTCTTATAACTTAATTGAATTAGGTCGTTATATGTACTGAGCATCTTGTATGGGTTTTCCACGTTTCAGGCCAAAGAACTTGCCACGCTTTACAAGCTTAGACAGCTTTTCGTCAGGGATCTTCAGGCTCGTTTAAAAGTGGTAAGTATAGTACATGTATAGTCGAGTGGCTACGATACTGGTCTTGCAGTCCAATGATCACCATTAACGTTAATTAAGAATATGATTGTTCTGATTACAATTTGCGTAAAATCTCTTTACCAAGTGGTCTGGTTGTAAATTGTCCATTGATTCTGTCTCTGTAAGATGATATTATTTATGGGGTTTGAGTTGGAAGGCCAGCAATACGCAAGAGYCTCATGAGAAGTGATGGTAACGCCTTACTTTTATCGTTCAGAACGTTGCCGATAGTGACGGAGAAGATGACGGTGGTAGCCAAGCACAAAGACAAAAGATTTCTTTTTTAGAGAACAACTTAGATCAGCTTACAAAGGTCCATAAGCAGGTAGGTTTTCGCGTGGTTTTACATCATCAAGAAAAGGGTGGTTACYTGGTATTGCGCAGCAATTAGTTAGAAGGTCACGTGYTTTTACCTTAKCAATTAMATAGGTGATCACGTGSTATAGCGCTCCAATCKGATTGCTTCATWAACAATCATTSCAACACAATGGTGTTATCTTTATTTGATTTTCTCCAACACGCGCGAACATCAAACATTGACTCGTCGACTGCGAGGTGTTCAAATAGGTTGGTCGAWGATGCATAATTGATYTGGTGATCTCTAATAGTGCACTGCTATATTACTTCAACGTTGTATTGAGTTGTCTGCAAGATTTCACGCCTAAAAGTTCTAATGTAATATCGAAGACACGGTTACCCATCTAAATGTGTATTATACCAAACAGGGTAAAGGACTGGAGAGGATTGAACGGTTGAGACTCCGACTCAACGTCAACAATGCTAAACTTCATAATCTAAAGAAATAACACTGTTAAGGATTCACTTTTTATTGGAAGAATATTTCATAAATATAAATGTTTACTTGATGTAAATGTAATTGTTGCGTCGAGCTGACGGTTCTACAATAAGATAACTTTATATGATTTGAAATGTATAACTTTCTATTTTATTGCTATTAGTAAATGTTATTTTGCTAAATAAAGTATTGTGGTACATTGGATGGCTCAGTTCGGATAGTAGGAATTTGAGTGGCAACACCACTTCTGTAGCTACATCAAGAAAATCAGTCAAAAAAAATGAACAATACAACTTAATGGTATGAACCTGCCAATATGAATCGAAAGCCCATAAACTGAAAAACTTATATAAAGTTGTTTTTTTTTCGTTGCTTTTTGCGTTTTCCCGTCTCCTCGAAAATGTCTCATTTTGCTTAATGCTATCGAAATTGATTTTGAGAAACTACTATCCACTGAATATTGAAACAATATTTTTTATTATCTCGATGCGCAGTCACGTGAGTGAAGATCAGATACGATTTCCATGTGATTGTAAATTGAAAGTTTTCATATATGAATATTGTGATGATAATTCGATTCAAAAAGTACTGGACCCCAGCGTTTTATCACGTGATAAAAAACTCGCCGGTTATGTTTCTGGTCGCAGTATGCAATGAAATACTTCTGTTGTATTGGAGATACAATAAAATAACATGATTTACACAGCTGTAATCCAACGGCAAGTACTTGCTTCACAATGATAGAACCTGAAAGCGAAATAAAACAGAAATGCCATTTTTTTTGGTAAATTCAGTCATTGTAGCCTTTAAATTGAGTAAACTAGATATCTGATCATAGACCACTCATAGGAATGTTTCTCGTTTCGACCATATTTGGTCGTTYTGTAAACGATTATCGATATTTATCATGTCTTTGCGATTCATGCAACACCACGAGATTGATTGTAGTTTTCCCATCACTAAAAACAACATATCGCAATATTTACACTTGRAGAGTAACAAATGAAAACAAAAGATATTTATCGTTGGCAATTATGACGTATTCATCAACTGAGTCAACTCGATAGTAAGAATTTAGTATTGTTGADTACACAGGGTACCCAGTTTAGAGAGAAACTGTTTCCCACATGGAAGTGCTGATTGCGGTGAAAGACTTTCAATTCAAGTGACAAGAAAAGGCGTTTAACGTAATGGTTTCATATTTCGCTTTTGTGAGGAATAATAATGGCAATGTTTTTGTACATTGCAAACTATGTTTTGTACAACCCTCTTATTTTCTCTAGTTCTTATTTACACAGACAACTTCGTCTTTTAAAAACCGCAAAATGTTCGTTTTAAAGAGACATCCGATGTGACAAGAAAAAAATTATTCATATTAGTTGAATGATCTGTTGTTCGAAGTCAGAGTGTCTGTGTTTAGATTCAAATCGTTATGCAGTACAAAATTCTTTGAACGGTTGAATTATTTCCAGTCAGTTTAGATTAAAGTGAGCCTCGACGTTGTATAAACACTCGGAAGAGACTGCATATAAATTTTAGTATTAATTTTTCTACGTTAAAACAATTTTAGTGTTTCTTAGTTGATATTTTGTTATATCAAGCCTACCTTGTTGTGTTTTGCTCAAAGTATCTTGAARCTTGAAGGCATAATAAATCATAAAACCATGTCGTCTTACATGCGGCAAACAGTGTTAGCAAAGCGAAACACTCACACCCTCAAACACGTGCAAAACYCAACTATCGCTTCCTTATAAGGAGACAATCATGACACTTGATGTCGTTTCATCCATGTAATTGCTTTACGATAGCTAAATTATTTATATTTGATTCACTGACTAGGTCGTGCAATATTTTATATTAGAAAAACGAACATTCATATTATGTTAATGCTAGTCAGATTYAATGTGTTACTGAATTTGCTACAGTATCTCTATCTCAGATAAATAATATCCATTTWATAATAATATCGATAATGATGATGTTTTAACTTATTAGATGGGATTTGTTAGCTCTGTGCTGATTTTAATGTCAGTTTTACAATTGTGATTAAAATATTTCTTTTTCTTAGCTTGTCCGTGACAATGCTGATCTAAGGTGTGAATTACCAAAGCTTGAAAAGCGACTGCGTGCCACGCAGGAGAGGGTCAAGGCATTGGAACATACACTGAAAGAAGCCAAGCAGGGTGCACAAAGGGACCGCGCTCGTTACCAGAAGGAAGTAGAGCGTTTCAAAGAATCAATGAGACAGCGGACAGCTGCAGCTAAAAAGAGCGGCCAAGCACATATAGGTGCGACACTCTTTTATGCTAGTATAGTATTTTTGGGAACTATTTAGTGACAATGACAGTTGTCGACTYAWTTACGGAATAAATACGAGAAATYCAATGATGAATAAATGCTATATATCATGTTGTTCTTTTRTTACACAGCCAAACCAATTCGTCCAGGACAACATGCTAGTTCCCAAAACGTTTCTATAAGAGGAGGGGGAAATCCTGTAATTAGTGGCGCACTGTTAAGTGTTGGTCGTATGGCTACCTTGGGTTCRAATGTCCCCAGRAATCCTAGTTCACCTAGTGCACCATCCAGCTCTCCTAATGGAGCTACTGTAGGGATTGTTACACCCGTAATACGAGGAAAAAGTGGCGATCCCGTGGTGTCGTACAGTAAGCGTATACGAAACGCTGTCAGTACAGAATCACTTAATAGACACCTGCAAGGGGGATCACCGTAAGTATAATGGATTTTAATAATCATTATTAATAATAATTAATTGGTTGATGGATTGATTGACTGATGGATTGACTGTTTGGAAGGTTGTTGGTCTGGCTGGCTGGTTTATTGATTGATTGTAATGAGCAATTGAACAAATAAATGAAACATGATATAATTTACCWTTTCAGTGTTAACGGTCCGTCTATGGACGAAAGGCGCCGCAGCCATTCCTCACATCACACGTTTAGCGGAAACAACGAAATGATACGGACATCTGCAAGTGTGGATAGACTTAACATGGTTGGAGACCGTGGATCGTCCAGAAAATCAATGCCTGATAGTATCCCTGTTAAAATATCAGGTAGAGAAGGAGATATCACAGCGTTTAAGAAAGTAGGACGAAGATCGACCTCGTCACAGAGTATAAACAATGACTGAACAATGATCATCAAGGCGAATATGACGAGATTCTTGTCCTCCCTTCTTATTTAATAAACCATAAACGCAAACAGATCAAATCATTAAATGCAGACGGATAAAACCTCATGCTAGMATGAAAGGACTGACSAACAACAAGAGCACTTGGGAGGGAGTGTGTTTTCATCTCTCACACAGTCGTTCTRTTGTACTTGTTGATCGTAATGTGAACACTCATACGTGAATGAACGGTGATTGTAAATCTCAGACGATTTATACTCTTGCTTTTCAAGATGTAGGTCCATGGGAGATGAGAAAGCCGGTGACTTGAGCGATGTCAATCACATGGTTGCCAAGATGACATCTCCAGCTTTGACTGTAGTTTCTTTTCTTCACTTTCTGCTTGTGTTTGCTACTTTTTTCTCAGTGAAGTGAATTTTAAATTTTGCCAGTTTTGTGTCTTTTTCTTTTCTTTATTTACTAAAATGGACTTTCTTGGAATACTTTTGTTATTTTTGCTTTGGTAATGCTTCTGTTGGTTTCTATTGCTTTGAACAGTTTTCTGGTATTATTTTTTAAGTGGATTTAGAGATAATTCAGGATCGTCGTTAGTTCGTGGATTTTTTTTAAATATTTGTCAGTGTTTGCGTTTATTTTAGACTCCTTTACAACATCGATTATAGCGTGGTGTACCCTTGACCACTCGGTATTTTCAAGCGATTGCTAAATCTCATTTCGCGCTTTTGCGAAAGTTTGTGGTTCACCTGCTTTCTTGAAAGGAGTAATTAATTTAGAATAGTATATAGAAGGTATAAAAATAGGAAAATATTTATGTTATAGCAAATGATTCTAAATGAGAGCTAATATCTTGTCATAGCAAAGATTTAAATGTATATAATAAGCATGACTGGGATGTGGATCATTTTGCATGTACTGTAGTAGAATCTTGATGTTCTGAACAACTTCTGAGTTGTCGCCTGTTGATGATGGGGTCGTTAATGATTGGTTCCTTGGTGTTGCAAAAAGTCGATATGACGTCATTCAAGGGCTATGTTGCCGRAGCAACTGAGGGACAAGATTGTARATTTCTCGATGGGGCTGTTMCAGCCGGTTGTACTTCAAATGGTCAATGAATCGTACGTTCATTTGGTTAGTCTGCCATTCCCTTGATTTCTGTCTTTGCATTACTCGAGTTTTAAAAGGAGCGATTCCTATTCTTCGAGATKAACATTTCAGGGTTTTTTATTCTTGCCTTTGGTTTTGATAAGTAGTAGTACGCTATGGTTTGGAGGTTTGGTCGTTGTATAAATGTGCTGAATTCTCAGCTATTCTTGATACTTATCATTTCATAGCAGTCAAAAGTTCTATTTTTAAAGTTAATGCTAAATTTGCACAAATTCAATCAATAAGGAACAAAGTTTGGTGCTTTTTCTTTATCAAATTAAAGTTTGCTAAGGACGACATTCTTGAGTGAAGCTACCAAGTATGTTTAGATATAATGATGTAAATGTAAGTTTTAGCTTTTCTAATTCAATACAATTTATTATAGTGCAAAGGATTGCATGCATGGTATTGTTAGTTGTAAAATTATGACAGATGGGCCTCATTAAAACCACAGTTATTTAAAAGTAACGAGTTTGTTGTGTTGATTAATGTACAGTAAAAACTTTGCCCTCCATTCCTTTTGAACTTGTTGTGCACTGTCAGCCACAAGGCAGTCACATGAACGGTCTTCCAAGTGATTGGCCAATATTTGACGAACGTTCCTCGCTTCCATATAACCAGTGAGATAGCGAGAAAAATACGAAAGACGTCTAGAGGAGGTTTACTACGACTGCAACTTTTTGGACAACTCGTGACACGACCAAAGACATTGCGGGTTGCTATTTTGAATAGAATGAAAACAGGAAATTCACGGTCACAACAAACTGCCGTTACCTTCTGCACACAAAACCGGCTCTTTATTGCAAGAATATAAGAATATAATTTGAAAGTAACTCAATCAAAGAAAAGT